ATACAGCCTTTTGCACAAATTATGAGACATTTTTATATATATAAATATACCTAACCAAATATCAAAAACACCCCAGAAATTATGGTATATCTCTATTATATTTTGTCATGATTGCCTAGCATCAGGTTGTTACAGACAAAATATCAGCGACGGTATCCCATAATTTCTTGGGTGTTTTTGATATTTGGTTAGGTATATTTATATATATAAAAATGTCTCATAATTTGTGCAAAAGGCTGTAAATAAATAAATAGCTAAATAAGTCAATAAATTAAACAAATGAAGTATAGCATGATATATGCAAATGATATTGTATTGTTGATATTGTATGTTGTCTACTGTAAGACCTTAACTTGTTTGACTGTACAAACCTCCAGTTCATTTAGTGTTCCTTTCCATGGGCAACCTCTTTCTTTGTGGTATCTGCACCATACAGTGAACATACCCATTTCTCTCTTGGCAAAGTTGTCTGGATAGAGCTAAAACGAATGGTATGTTATTAGCCACATCAAGTAATTGTTTGTAAAGTGGATTGAGTCAGTATTTCTGTCTTGTATTTCAAGTAAACAAGGTACTGAGAGAGTGTCAAGTGTCTAAGGACACAACATGATAGTCTAGACTGGGATTCAAACCTTTAAGGCCATCATGTTTCTCTCTCTCTCTCATAGAAATCAAAGTGATAGAAGTAGTTAGCACTTACTCCGGATTCTGAGAGAGGTACATCATCAACTGGGCACTTGTTTCCAGCATCTCTGCATAACATTAACAAAACACAGTCAATATCATATACAAGTCTGACCTAAATATGCTTCACAAAGATCAGATGCAGGCTAGTCTTCCTTCATCACAAAAAATGCCATCAATATGAAAATGATGCCCAAATATTTTTTGAATGTTCATGGTTCATTGACCAATTAAAAGCAAGATTAACTGTTTTCTCTAAAGGCTGAAGGCCAGTGAAAGTAAGGGTTCATATGTCCAAAAAAAAAAGGAAAACAGAATCACTTTTCGCTTCATATTTCGCCCCGTGTAAGAGAATCCGGAATCCGGAATCCACTAAAAAACAGCTTTGGAATACAGAATCCCTATCCTGGAATCCGGAATCCAAATATTTGGAATCCATAATCTGGAATCCAGCAAAAATTTTGATATCTAAAAAACATCGTCCCGCTGACGCCCCTGCGCAGGCTACTGACACGCTGAATGTAAAATTTTCAGGAAAAAACCCCCTGAAAATCAGGCCATTTATTATACAGAATCCAAAACAAAAATTCTTTGGAATCCGGAATCCCAAGGCTTGAAATCCGGAATCCAATGTTTCGGAATCCGGAATCCAGCGCTTGGAATCCGGAATCCGCTAGTTCTCTGGATTCTCTTACATGGGGCGACATATTTAGCCGAAGAGGTGTAATTAATCTTGGGAATACAGGGCAAAAAAAACAACAACTTGGTTACTCCGATTATGAACTTTTCGTTGAATTCACAAACTTGACTTGTAATTGTTATTATTCTTGAAATCAATGGGGCATTGAAGATAAAAAATATTGATAAAATGTTCATGTTTATCTCCTGGAAAGAAAAATAAATTTATTTTTTAATAAATTTATTTATTTTTTCCATGAAGGAAATGAATTCTATATTGCTATCTTCCCCCCGACTAATCTGTGTATTTATGCAAATATTATTCAAAACGAATGAAGTGCGACATTTGAGCTTGTGTGACTTGCCAAAGTTGCATAAATTATATCAAGCGAGGACCAGCATTCGGTGTATACCAGAAATAAAAAAATATTTTCTACCAAGATTGGAATGCAAAGCCTATAAAAATTACAGCAACTATTAGATAAGATTGAGCTATTAGTACAAGGAGAATAAGAGAAATCTCTTGAGCCGTTTCGAAGAAAATGGACTTTTCGTGATTTTTTAACAGGCCGCACAATTTTAGCTATTGCTCATCTCCAGTAAAAATATTGTAATTCTTTTGAGATTTGAAAGGTATAGAACTGAAATTTACACACACTAATATTGACCAATGGATGTACAACATATCGCAAGATTATGTCAATCGGTTGTATATTCATTCATATGCGGCTGTTTATTCTATGTAGGTCATATTTTGGGCTCATTTTTGAGCCGCGTTCATATCTTTATTTCTGCCCGAGTTTTTCCAACCAAATTCATAGCCCTTATGTAGTTTTATGAGATATACAAATTCTAAAAATTTCAAGATGATCCGACTGTTAGTTTTAGAGTAAATCGTCGAAAACTGGAATTATCACTGTTTGAAAATGCGCTGTATATTTAAAACCAGCCAATAAATTACTAAATAATGAAAACTGTCAAAAACTGCAATAATCACTGCATGTTTTATCAACATTTTAGCGCGTTTTACTAAATACTTTTGCGAAATGAGCGAGTTAAAAAAGTTCAAAATTTGCGTTTCATTAGTTGTGATCCACCTTAAACTTACAGTAAGCTTAATTAACCCTCTGATGCCAGCTCAGTTTTCTCGATTTAGGGCCATTTTTACATTCAAGAGATTAAAAAACATTCGAGCTCCATAAAAGGTGCTGTCAATCAAATTATCATGGATTCATATTCCCTAGGGAACGTGGCTTTCTGTAATGCACGGCTAATTTGAGATTGCTTGCTAGATTAGCCAGCGCACTCAAATTCGCCAAAAAAGTGTTTTTTCAAAGCCCCTAGGCCTGCATCAGTAAGCTTGACTAGGCGGTTAAGACACTCTTCTGGAAGAAATCAGGAGTGGGGAGCGATTTTTCGAAGACAATGGCGGCAATGCGAATGTCAGTTTGAATTGTTGTCGTTAGAGAAATATTGTATCCCAAGTCTTTCTGTTGCGGATTTCAGACCCTACCAAGGTAAATTTGGCAAGTTTTAACACCCAAACAAGGCAATCGGTGCAATATTTTACCGGTAGGTGCGAGTGACTTGGCACTTATAAAATATCTATAAAAACAGGATTGCTGGACATCCCTGTCGATTTGAATCAACATATCCCGTGATGCTGTTCGGTCGTGCATCTGAGAAAACTGTGTTTGCTGTAGTGAGTCCCAAAAAGGGGCTTTTGGTCGCTCTGAAAACAATTTAACAAAGCAAAAGTGCAACTGTTCAAGAGACTCAAGGATGGAGATTCTCCACAAAACCCATTTTATGCTTGAGAAGGCCATTTTCGCA